GGTGGGAGGGAGGAGGGGAATGTCCCCTAAACCAGGAATCCATTACAAAAATAGCCAGAGTTCCAGAGAGCAACAACATCACACACGCGACAACAGATGGGGATCAATTTCACAGACATTCTGCATTCATGCTCCCCACAAAACACTGTTAACATGCAGTTTTTCTACACATTTTGGCGCCTCATATGTAAATAGCCTCATCTTATTTCTGTCCTTCCTTCTTTCATGTCTGTTTGTGCTTTTGGAAAAATGTTTTTCATTTTATTTATATGCCAGTCGGAATCAGAAAGGTTGGTTATTTTTAATTACATGTGCATATTTCTTCTGCTTGCACTTTCAAGACTGCAAGACATATTTACAGATGTAAATAAACTGATGACTTGTGAGACGTCTTTCTCCGTGTGTTTAAATGTTGCCCCCTGTCTAATATAATCTTTACCTATAAGACAACAAGAGATTTATTCCACCTCTGTTAGATTTGTTGCTAAGAGGATTGAAGTAGCAGTTACTTGAAGGCACAGCTTGCTTTGAGGTCTGGATTTGAGAGAACGTTCAGTCTAAAGCAACCTGTAGTAAGAAGCACTGCTATATTGCCTTAACTTCTATAGCCACATACGGCAATCACTGAGGTCCAAAACATTTAGAAGAAGAACACCACAGCTGCCTCATTTAAAAGAGCAGATCCACTGGATGCTGTCGAGTTTGTGAAGTAGGCCTGAATATTTTCTAAATGCATGTTATATATCTTATTCATCCATGCATACGTTTCCTCTTTTTTTCTTTTCTTTTCTTTTTTTAAATTGACCATCATAATTGGACCTTCTGGTTAAAACTACATACCTTTTCAGAGATGTATGACTTCAATCTTCAATTTAGTCTGCTTATAAAAACCTTCAATTAGTTTGTGTCCCACAAAAGAAAAATCGTGAAAACTGGTTTCCACCACAGCAAAAAAATACAAATAAAATAGTAGTAATAATAAAAAGATTGCAACTTTTTCTCACAATTCTTTTTTCTAAACTTTTTTTGAGTTTATATCTCACAATTCAGACTTTTTTCTTTCACTTATAGAGAAAAAGTCACAAAAGCAAGATATGAACAATTATGAAAAGTATGAATTGTGATATAATGCTTTTTTAGAATTGATTTTATAGAACAATTCTGACTTTTTTCCTCATAATGTTTGGAATTGTGAGGGAAAAGTCTGTAACAAAAGAAAAAATGTGAAATTTAAAAAAAAAAGTCACAATTACATATGGGGTTCAAAAATAGAACTAAATTTGAAACAATTCCCTTTAAAGTCCATTTAATTTAAGAATATTTGTAAAAAAAAAAATTATAATAAATTAGGTGACATCTTTCTTCTGAGAACTGATTTTATATCACAATTCACAAAGAAATGATCTTGCGACTCTAAGTAGGGGTGTCCCCGACTAAGGATTTTCTTAGTCGAATCGGAATTTTCAAATCTTGCCGATATTCGACTGATATTGTTTCTTGGGACTTCAATCATATTGATATGAGGAAGATCATGCCCATATTCAAACAGCAGATCAAAGTGATGACTAGGTTGGATAAGATCTTGGACCAATGTTATTGTGTGTTTCCTAATGCTTTTCTTGGGCTCCATTGGGGCAATCAGACCATAATTTGATTTATCTCATTCCTGTTTATCGATGTAAATCTAAACGTATTATACCAATTAAGAGAGTGGTCAAGGAATGGTCTGTGGAGGAAGTAGACATGCTAATGGCCTGGCTACAGATTGGTCTGTTTTTAAAGAGTCATGTTTTGATTTGGATGAGTACACTGAGGTGGTTACCTCATATATACGTTTTTGTGAGACGGTGTGTGTACCTTCTAAGGCTGTTACCATACATAACAATAATAAGCCATGGTTTAATGAGGAAATAAACTAATTATGGAGGGAGAAGAACAAGGCATTTAAGAGTGGGGATAAAGAGCTTTCTAAAATTATCAATGGCGACTTTGAAAAAGCTGTTAGAAAGGCAAAAGGATATTATAAGTGTACGTTAGAAAACAAGTTGAAGATCAATGACACTTATGGTGTATGGAAAAGTCTAGAGCAGATCACAGGCTATAAGATAAAATCTCAACTCATTTCTAATGATATTACATTGCCTGATGAACTTAATGCGTTCTACAGTCGCTTTGAAAATACAATGGAGGGACCGGTTGGTCAGCCGACATGGCCCTCCTGGCCCTGTACTATGAGTCCTTCTTATAAAATAGAGGAATATGAAGTCAGGAATCTACTGCAGAAGCAGAACAGCAGAAAGGCAGCAGGCCCTGACTGCGTTCATCCTATATATTCACCGATATATTCAACTGGTTGTTAAGAGTATACAGAGTCCCAGCATGTTTTAAAGCAGCTGTTATAATTCCAATGCCAAAAAAGTTGAATATTAGTTGCTTAGATGATTACAGACCAGTGGCCCTAACTTCAGTTGCTATGAAAATCTTTGAGCGATTGGTGCTTAGGTATCTAATTTCTCAAATCTGTCTGGATTCTCCCCAATTCGCCTATAATGCTAATAGATCGGTTGATGATGCTGTGGCTCTGTGTATACATTCAATTTTGCAACACCTTGAAGCCCCCAATACTTATGTCAGAGTCCTTTTTGTGGACTATAAATCGGCATTTAATACAATTATTCCAGTTAAACTTTTTGATAAGTTAAAGCAATTGGGGATTCAACACTCCCTTGCTTTTTGCGTTTTGGATTTTTTGCAGAACAGAACACAAGTAGTTAAAATTAATAATATACTTTCAAGTCTCAAGACAATCAGTGTGGGGGCCTCACGAGGATGTGTACTGTATTGCAAATTTTTGAATTGTATTGCAAATTTTTAAGTTTGCAGATACTACTACATTGATTGGTTTAATAACAAATAATAACGAATCGGACTATAAAGGGAGGTTTCTACACTGAATGGAGTTGCACTCATAATTTGAAGTTGAAGTTTGCATTACCAAGAGTCAAGTCAGACATTCGACAGTCATAATTACGTTAACACACAGGGAAAATGTGTGACGGACGCCTCGCAGATACAAGCGAGGTAAATAATGTTTTATGTTTTGATTAAAAGATAGTTAACATTAAACGTCAGCGAAACCCTAAGAATTCACAACATTTTTTACAATAGTGCTCTGATTATAATGTTATGTATATGACACTAGTTCTTAATGTTCTAGATTTCTGTTTTGAGCTGCGCGCTGAAAATGACCTTTAGAATGAAACAGCAGGTTTTTAATCAATGGGATTTAACTAATTATTTATCTCATATAGAATATGCTTCGTTATTTATACAACATAACGTTAATATTAAGACTTATAGGCTATCTGCACAAAATGCCCCGAATGCGCCACTGAGGTCCGGACCTCTGTGAATTTTTCATGTTCAAAAATTACATTTGTTCTTTGAATAACTAATTTGCTGTTAAACTCCTCATATGCATGCCTGCATGACATGTATTATTCAGTTTAGACGGCTTGCAAGAATGTTTAGTGTCCCTGTTATGAAAATGATTGCTGCGAGACGCTGACGGAGTGAACCAGACTTGAGAGAGTTGTGAGTGAAGGCGCAGGCGCAGCCTTTTATAAGCGTTTTTGGACTTGTCTTTTCCACTTAATTTAACACTTAAGAAAGTTAATAAAGTAGGAAGTTGCAGTTTAGAATCAGTTATATCTTTATCTTATCTTATTTGCAAAAGATTGGAAATAATTTTGGTTTATTTTTATTTATTTGTTTGTGAGCGGTGTTTACCTTACTTTAGCCCGATTCACAACGGTTACCTTATAATAATGTTTTCTAATTTGAGTGGTACGGGTAGGTTTTGGCACTGCGTCATTACGTCACTTCTGTAAACAAAGAAGTTGTCCCGGCTACTAGGCTATCGCATGTGCAGATGCTGCAGGTGGTGGATCGTTTATAGCCTTTTCTCACAGCAGCTGGAATAAAGTATAACAATAATAATATTTTGAATGGTTTGATGTGATATGAGCTAACCGATCTTTAGATTTAATCACCATTGGTAGCGAGATTTATGGTAATGCTTTTTTCCTCAGTTGGTCAGAACAAAAGTGGCAGACAATTCTTATTTGGGTCATATTCCAAGATGTAGGCTAGAATCTGTGATTGCGAAGTACAGTAAATATCCACACCGGTGCGGTGACTGACTGCCACACACACATACTCTTCAGAACATTAGATTCATCCACGCCCACTCACAACCCATGCAAGGAAGATAATTCCGCACACAGCTGCAATTCCAGGTTTTCAAACAGAGATGGCGACAAAGAGGCAAAACTTACGGACTGCAGCTTTAAATTTTCACAAATCATGCTTTCATAAGAGCACTAAACTAGAAAAGTTATTGTAGTTATGTATTGTTGCAATAAACAACTGATAAAATTATCCACCCTTAAATATAGTAAAGTATTAACAAATTTTGATGCAATAAATAGGGTATGATTTAAAAATAATCATCCTTCCAAAACAGAGAAAACATCTTTCACAAACATCTACATGTCTGTCGCCTTTAAAGTGTTTATAGTGTATATAATGTTCTTCGACTATTCGGGGTCTCTAAGAAAATAGAGAGAATTTTGAGATAAACTCACAAGATATTAACTTGCAATTCTGAAGTCAGAATTGTGAGATAGTCACAATTACCTTTTTAAAAAAAAAAGAAAAGACTTTTTTTTCTTTTTCTGTTTGATAATATGGAGTACAAAAATGTAACTACATTTGAAACAATTCCATTTTTTTTTAAATGACTAAGTGATTGAAATGCCTTCCATTTTTTTTCTGAATATTTGTATAATACGGAGGACAGAATTATGACTATATATGCAACAAATCCTTTCAATTTGAATTTTAATATAGAGAACGAGCAAACTAATTAGTTTCAATTATGAAAAAGTGCAAACTAGATATTGCATTTTTCTTATTTAAAAAACAAAACAAACACTCAGTTCTTTTAAGAGATGTTCAATCAACATACAATCATCCTTTTTTAAAGCACAGAAAAACAAAAGGGGTGGAAATACTAGCGTTTGTTCACAATCATACCAAATCATACAGTATATTTCAAGCCAATCATCAAGCTCATTTCTCAATCACATTCAAACTCTCTAAATGTAAGGCAACATGCCTTCCCAGAAACATACACTGCATGTGTTTGCCCAGCTGGTATGCATTTTATTTAAATTGTTTTTCTGAAGGTAATACAGCAACAACAAATTTCACCAACAGTTCATTCATAAAATCCTCCAGGCTCTGCGCCCTCTCTGCTCCACAGCCAGACAGAACAAATCAACACTCTCTTCCTGTGCATAGGCCATTTCAGAGCTCAGAGGAGCTGAAGGAAATGAAATGATGCATTTGAGACGGCCGAGAACTCTGAACAGACGGGGTAGTAACCTGTGTGAGTGGATATGTTGAGTTTGGTGGTGGAGCGCAGGTGTGTGATGGTGGAGGGACAGGCGTTAGTTGGCTTTGGCACGCAGCTGCGCTCTCTTGCCCGTCACGGCCTGGAATCCGGTCTTGATGCTGGCGACGGAGCAACGGGAGTGACACGTCTCACACTGCAGGAAATACAGACGCGTGTCCTTCTGCAAGATTGTGTCAGGAGACCGACACGTGTGGCACGTCACGTACTCCTCTGCAACACAAAAACATACTGCTTAGTGCAGGTTTGCTTTTCCACCATGTAATGCATATTAACAACTATGCAATATTAATATTATAATATTAATATTAATTAAAACACAGGATGCATACTGAAATTATGGCAATAAGCCTATAATTATGCTATAAGCAATATACTGTATATGCTTGATGGCATGTATATTAAATATATACAATATTTTATACTTAAGATGCACACATATATATTATTTTAGACATGCATTTAATTTTTAAGATATCTTGTTAAAAAGGTGTATATGTACATTTATGTAGATATGTATTATTTTATTATTTATTCAGTGAACCCCTTATACCATTTCAATTTGATTATTTTTAACAATTCACCACTCAAATAAACACTCACTTATATATCTTCTTAAGACATTCTCTATCTGTTTCTGCTGGAATCTGCCTTTGATGACGAGCTGATTGTTTCCATCTATGGATCCACTGAAAAGTCAAAACAGTGCATATCTAAACATATAATAAATAAAAATCACACCAATTTCTATATTCTTTCCAAATCACAAAGTTCCCGTTTCTAGCTGCAGAAAGAAGAATTCTGCTCATGTATGAGACTGATCTCTTTCCAAAACCAAAATCATCTGTAAATATCCAGGAGGCAAAATCGATGGGTTTCCTTTGATGTGTCTTCTGAGATACATGCGGGTGAACACAATGATGTGCTGGAATGAGTGTGTGGAGCACTGAAAACAGTCTGCTTATCTTTTAATAATGCCTTCTGAAAGCATCACAGGGTCAGTCGCTCCCTCTAGAGCAGCAATGCCTTTCTCAACTGATTCAGGTTTCTCCCTGACATCCTGTGAAACGCCTCCAGCAAAACGTGCAAATGATGTGTTCTGGTGGAGGGTTTCAGTCGCACAGAGACGCAGGACAAATAAACCCAGAGCTTGCCAGACACTGAGACCATATTTCGCAAGGTTAATGATCAACCGATGAAGGAAAACAACCATTGGTTGAGTGGTGCCCCCCATAAAACTAAATAATGGTTCACTTACAAATGACATATGGACAGAAGATCATTATAGGCTCTTTCCACAAACCGGGCCCAAAAAAGTATTTCTTCGTCAGCAAATAGTTAAGAGATGCTTAACCTATACTTATAAAATTTGAATGAATACAATTTCAAAACAAACATTGGTCATTCCAAAACATTAGTATTTACTACAATAAATTAAACATCAGTTCAACGCATCACATTTTAAGATGGCTGGAGGTAGACGAGGCAAAAAAAACTAAAATCTTTCAGGTGTTGAAAACTAGCTACTTATGTAGTGTTAATTGTTTGCTAGATAACAAGCATATCAAGTTTATCAAGCATATCTAACTGTTCTCAGAAAAATATCAAAAACTCACCATGTGCCCAACTCGGCCAGCAAAAAAGCCAAAAGATGTTTTGGTTGTCGATGCAACCTGGGAAAAGAAAAAAATAAAGATTTAAGGTAAAGTGCCATCGAAAATAAAGTTCACGTGTGCAAATATACGATTGAATTATGGCAGAAATGAAATGCCCAACAACACAATACGAGTTCAGAAATACAACAACTTTCCAGTTCTTTAGAGCAAATCAAACTCAAAGTCAACTCCAGAGTTTCATTACGGCTCTATAAAACAGCTGGACTATTTCAAGTTTAGACTTACAGTTTGCAGATGTCTGTGAAGTTTACGAATGAGGTCTTCTTTGTGCCGACCCTGACAACCTGAGGCGGCTTCATCACAAACTTTCTCTTCTCTCCAGCCACCATGTCTGGATTTTTTTCCCGCATGATGTTAAAGACTCTATTCAAAAGCTTAAAAAGGTGATATTAATAATAATAACAAGAGCAGAGGCAAGCAGCCATTATCTAAGGAACATAGTGGTACAAACTAAAATTAAGACACGGCAATGATTCTTTAGTTTCAAGTTTTCAAGGGGATCAAACATATTGCAGTCAACCCATACATCAGAATCAGAAATATAAAATACATTTTACAGAATTTTATTAAAGGAACAGTTTACCCAAAATGAAAATCTGTCGACCAAATCAATATAATGGATAAAGGAAGCAAGACGTCTAAATGATGGATTTGTTTCTTACAAACACGCAGCTTTTCACTTCACAAGACTGTAACTGATGGACTGGAGTGCTGTGGATTACTTGTGGAATATTGCAATGATTTTATCAGCTTTTTGGACTGACGGCACCCATTCACTGCAGAGGATCCATTGGTGAGCAAGTGACGCAATGCTACATTTCTCCAAATCTGTTCTGATGAAGACACAAACTCATCTACATCTTGGATGGCCTGAGGCGCGTAGATTTGTAGCAAATTTTCATTTTTGGGTAAACTATTCCTTCAAATATGCAGTGTATCCAAAACATACTTGAACACGTATCCTATACTTGATGTATGGTTGTCCTAACATAACATAAAATAGTAAAAAAACTGCCATGTACATAAAAAAAAAAAACACCTGAAACGCACAGAAGCTATTGTTTAAAATGAAGACATCGTGTATAAGTATTGTGACATATTCTGACTGTCAAACATTACATATCCACAGTTTATGTGACAAACTACACCTGTGCGAACAAGATCTGATTTCACACATCTAATAAATATCATCTTGACACCAGCTGTAATAATTCCAAACGTGTTTCAGAAAAGAGAAGTTAACAGAGACAAGCTGTTCTGCCAACAAATGCACCAGATGGCAGCAGTTTCTGGCCCTTTATCAAGTTATCACCTGAAACAAGCACATATGTTCTGTGCCGCACGTTGAATAATAAATGTGCCCATTCACCTCATCATATGTGTAATCCCTCTCCGATCCTGCCCAGGCAGGGCCCGTCTGTGTGCTGAATGTGATGTCATCTGTGTTTTTACTGTCTTCATCTTCCACTCCTTTCACACAAACAGCACAGAATTAGACTGCCAACATTATAGTTATTTACAGAAAAACGCCCTACTAAAGCACTTACCGTCATCTTTGCTCTGACTGTCCGTGTCCTCTAGAAAATCTTTGACTTTTCTTGATTTCTTCTTCTTAGTGGGCAGCATTAGTTCATCCTCCTCTTGTGTCTCTGATGGCTCCGTTTCGATCTTCAGCTCCTTTTCGGAAATTTACAATTTATTTAGTACAAGACAATGCATGTCAACTGTCAAAAATATCAGTGCTGAACATATCAAACTTCAAATGCAAAGAGAGTGTAGGCTCAGACATCAATTTATTTTTCAAAGGAATCCAAGGCCACTGAAGAATAACGCTTTCATGGTCAAAACATCGTTCAATGTGAAAAGCCATTACGGCCATGAAAACAATCGAGAGTTTAACAACTATACATGTGCAAACAATCGACTGACCTTCATTCCTTCTTCAAGCTCAGCATCAAAAATCTTCTCTTTTTTGGACTTCTTTTTCTTTTTCTTCTGGTTGAAGAAGTTTAAGTCATCCAGGTCATCTGATGTTTCTGGAAAATCACCAAAATCAAATCAAACAAGCCACACTTTTTGGACTGTATTTCAAATTTCAATAAACATTCAGTGTGCAAAGAAAAGCTGGCCAATATATTGGATTTTTTCCCCCTATATTATTTCATTGTTGATTGAACATGTGAACAAGACACTTTTAAATAGGGCTGTGTGATATAAAAAAAAATATTGACACTGTTATATAATAATATATATTTATAATATTTAATTTATAAAATTTAATATATAATATTTGGACTTTAATCAAGACTTTGGGAAAATATTTCCATTGCTTTACATTTAACAATGCCTTTTGGTGTTCAGGAATTTGAAACATATTTCAAAAGGAAACCGAGTAGAGCTTTATCAAAAAGCTGCAACATGTCTCTAGAACAGACAAAACAATACAATACAGGTAAACATCAAAACAATAAAAAAACAAACCAGAATTTTACATAAACCCTGCCTTCTGCTTTAGAGAAGAGGAAGAGAAAACTACAGGTGCACGTAAAAATCTATTCATATATGAATCGCCATTCTGTCTTCTAACGATTCTAGTGGATTCACAAGTATCAACATCAATGTTCTAAAGCAGCGGCTCTTGATACTGTTCCTGGCCTCGCCCTGCTCTGCACACGCTCTGCATCTCTCTCTCTCTCTCATTCAGATCACCAGCTCAGTGAATACACTTATTTTCAAATACTATAGTTATGAGAAGCGTTATACATGGACGTGCATGTGGTTGACGAGCTGTATTAAAGCTTTAATCAGAATAAAACCCTATATTAAAAGCTAACGGAAGCAGTAGCATTTACAAATAACAGCGTATCTAAAAGTATGAGACAACAACAAACAAAAATTTTAGGCCTACCATTAAAAGCCGTGCTTGCACAGGTTCTGCGCGATCCTCTTCAATAATATCCTCTGCGTCTCAATCGGGCTCAAATTGATAAGCAATATAGACGACATCATTGTTTACAATACAACCGGAGCACATGCCGCTATGTTGAGGGGCGGGACGATTAGACGCACGCTAGCGGTGGTTTAGCCAATCACAACACACTGGGCCAGCTAATCAATCAGAGCCCATCATGTATTTCTGAGGCAGGGGCTTCATAAAAGCAGGAAATGATCAGTGCGTTCAGAGGAGAAGGGACAGAGAGGTGTGGAATAAAGGTAAATTATGTGAAAAATAATGCGTTTTTTAACCAACGAAGCATTAACACATGTTAGACTGCACCCCATAAACACAATCAAGCCTATAAAAAAAACCAGCCAACCACCCCTTTAATACACAACCAAACTGCAATTTTTAACATGCATAACTTTAATGAGCCTAACATGTAAACATTATGATTTAAGTACTTAATCCAGCAGAAACTTGAGCATAATCAGCATAGTTTAAACACCCGTAACAGACGCAACTACTTGCCTAGAAATCGATATTTGCGTAAAGTTGAGCATCTCTGAACTTCTAGCTGCTCTCAGTCGCTCTCAAAGCTCAACTCCCATAGGAATGAACTGGAAACACTCACACTGCTCCGCTCACTCGACCCCAGTGGACACGCACCGTAAGAAATCATGCGTTCTGCGGTTTAGAAAATGTGCGTACTCGCATCATGATTTCGATTAATTGCACAGCCTTAGTTTTTAATGTGTTTTTTTAACATGGCAATTACAAACCCAATTCCAAAATAGTTGGGACAATGTACAAATTGTGAGTAAAAAAGGAATGGAATAATTTACAAATCTCATAAACTTATATTTTATTCACAATAGAATATAGATAACATATCAAATGTTGAAAGTGAGACATTTTGAAATGTCATGCCAAATATTGGCTCATTTTGGATTTCATGAGAGCTACACATTCCAAAAAAGTTGGGACAGGTAGCAATAAGAGGCCGGAAAAATTAAATGTACATATAAGGAACGCCAGTTGTACACTGGAAAATATTCAGAAAAATCACTTTCTGCAAAATTCTGTGTGAATTGTTTCAATAACACAGATCTGAAGAATTATTGTGTCATTTTATGCACAAATATTGCTGTTTATTACTATGCATTGTTATTCTGACACACACAAAAAAAAGGATTAAATGTTCCGTTTTCATTTTGCTAAAAACCTCTTCATTATGTGCAAAAAAGTTCCCTTTTAGGGTAATTTGTTATTTTGATTTAGAACTTATGTTTTGGCCACTTAAATCTGCTTTTTAAGCATTTGTTCAAGATCAAATATACATTGAGTTATTTGGAATATTTTATAGTATACGGCTGGTATGAATGAATGAATGAATGGAGGCATTTATATGGCGCTTTATTGTGTATTGCTGTACACCCAAAGCGCTTTACAATCATATGAGGTGGTCTCTCCTCAAGCACCACCAGTGTGCAGCATCCAGGTAGGATAAAATGGGGAAAATTGGGCATTCACTAGCCAGGCAGGTGGAAAAGCCCATAATAATCTGTCTTTGTGTTCTCTACTCAATATTACTACAGCTATTTAACTATGCAATCAAAAAGCGACAACATTAAAGCAGAACACAACTGTGATGTGTTGTACCTTTCTTCCTCCCCTCATCTTCATCAAAATCGAACTCTTTCTCATCGGCCCCGTCAGCCTCTGTCTCTTTCGTTTCCAACTGTTGGCCTTCATCTCCCTCTCCACCATCTTCCTCCAGCATAAAAGGCTTCTTCTTTTTCTTCTTCTTCTTGGTCATAGTGGGATCAAATATCATCTGGAGGGACCAGAGCATGAGTTTAATAATGAGATTTAAAAAAGTCAAAATTAAGCATGCAATCATCTAATCCTAATAATCTAACCTAATAATCATATTAAAGCTCTCTAAGATAATGCCAACCATGATTAGTTTCAAAAACACAAAATGCTAAGGCTTTTGAACCTAATTTTGGTTTGCACAACAAGAATAGATCAATGTGGAGTAGACGAAACCAAGATTTCATTTGCGACATCTCTTACATTAATCATAAAACAGTTCAAATGTTATCTAAGAAGAATCATATAACGTGGAAGCTTCTTTAGACAGGTAAGTCATGGTAATACCATAGTACGTTTACTTATATCATGGTTTTGAAGTGTATGTATTATGGTATGGTATGGTATGGTATGATGGTACTTTACTACTTCTGGGCACCTTTTGTATGTGATACTGCTTTATTAAATAATCACCATATTCACATACCATAGTAAATTTACATGATTCTTCAAGAACACCAAGGTAATGCCATGGTGTGTCGAAGAAACATAGTAAAGTAGTAGAAAATGTCCAAAGAAACCATAGTAGTACCATAAAAACTGTATTACCAATGTACTTCTGCAAAAACAGAAAAAGAAAAAGAAAAAAAACATGGCAGTATCACAGAAAATGCCGTAAAATATGGTCATATCACGGTACCAGTACAAAAAAAAATAGTAGTATCATGGTGCTCGTCCAAATAAACATGTCTTTGCAACGTCCAAACAATCATGGTATTACCATGGTAAATGTTCAAAGAACATGGTATCATGTGTACATTTCCATGGAAGTATCAATTACGTTTTGTCAATAAAATGGCAAGACAATTAGAGAAACGTAAGTCGTTTACTATCTAACTAGCTGACAAATGGCAAACAGATCTAGAAAAGACGAGCTGTGCACATGTTTCTTCACAGCCTTTACTGGTAACGTTAGGCCTAACTGTCCTTCTCTTTCGACTGCCTAAATAAATTCATATTAACAAATATTTTTCCTAAACAACGATTGTTTACTAACCTCGTCTCCTGACATGGGTTCGACTTGTTGTGAAAACGCAGGAAGCAAAAATAAACGTTATTATAGGCTATTCTTAACGAACACCCTCGATATGCGCGTTGCCTGCGACAGGTCGGGCGGATCTACGCATGCGCGTTAGAAGGCGCGTTGCATGATGGTTGTTGTAGTTCTGTCTGCAAAACTACGTAGGGCAGACTAGGGACATTTTTGTTTCAACGTTTGTTACTCAGTGACTCTCGAACTAAAATATTAGCACAATTAACTAATACAATTGTGGCACAAAAATGCATCTCAGCAGCCATGTATGATAGGGATTACAGAACTCTTTGTCCATATCATGTTTGATCAGATTATTGGAGCTCATAAACCAAAACCCTATTGAGCTGGCTGGGCACTTATTCACATGCCGGGCAGTTTCCACTGATCTCAGAGACATATTGTTCTGTGATTTCTGAAACTGGATCGCAATAAGGCTTTGAAACTAAATGCAAGATGTTGAAATCAAAGGTTTCTCTATTACCAAACTATATAATAGCTTCGACTACATGCTGAAAATGGAAACATGTAGAATCACTCATCACAGTTTATTTGGTCTCAATTCCTACCATTATATGTTGAAAATATACTATGTCTTTTCTATGATGTGGACATTTCTGTTTCATATACTTCCATTTTCACAAATGAATATTTCTCTTATTTTATCGTACATTATCTAAAAATAAAACAATTAAAGTCTTTTTATAAAATCTCATGTTTCAAAACCAGGACCCAAGTGTATCATATACACAAGTGTATTACATATTCTCACTAAAATATTAGAATTGTGTTTGTGATTCATTATTTGATACACTTTGACCCTGATTTCACAGTAGTAAGTAAAACTGAAATATACATATTTTACGTTTGAATATTATATCTAGTTTTATATTAGATCATGTGATCAAAATCATGTCCAAACCACATTTTCTGAATATAGAAATATTAAAATATTTATTTAAAAAAACTCTCTCTGAAAAGCAACAATACAGTATGTTTTTTTTAAGTCTTTTTACTGTGAAAACATATTTCATATGTCCAAAATGAATTCAGTTAAATTATATTTGTGATAATATTTGGGATGATTTGAATATCCATTTTAAGTGTTACAGAGAACAAGATATAGGAAAAGATCATAAATGCTGCAAATCATTTAAAATATGCAAGATCCTGTGCTGAAAATTTGTTCATGTTAAATCACTGCATGTTTAACCAGACTAACAGTTTGTAACGGACTTGAATTGTAACCATGCGATCCAAACTACTGCTAGCGATAGTTTTATAGTGCCATATATTATATAACTTTACTCTTTAGCAACTAAATCAAACCGACTATGCAACCAGTTCATCACCTTGGCAATCGGTTCAAAGCTGTTGGCTGTTGGTCTCAAAAAATAAAATGACATTTAAAAAAAGCAAAATCACTTGATACCCAGTGATTAACATGTAGAGAAAAAATAGTTTGATATGTTTATAATAATATAATATCGAAACATCTTTAAAACAACATTAATTTACTTGAGAGGCAAGATTAAGACTTGTTTTCAGATATTCGCATTTTTTTATAAACCATTAGAAAATAGTTTTCTTGTTTTAAGCATTAATAGGTTTGGTATCACAGCGTATTAAAAGTTTTTATTCATAATTAGAATGTTCTATTTTTATATTTTAGTTTGTTCTCGTAATTTTGTGTTTTTGTCATTTTTGTTAATATTGTTTATATACGTAGTTTGCATTCATTTTATTTCAGTTTTAGCTTTGGTTATTTTAGTACATCAAGATAAACTAAATTAAAATGTAGTTTTTTATATATTTTATTTTATTTCAGTTCAAGTTTGTTTATTTCAAGTAACAAAAACTGTTCAGTTTAGTGAATATAATAACTATGATAATAAACTAAATATACAGTCAAGATACAGTATATTCTCTTACATTTTAAAACAAGACAAAAATTGCAATAATTGTTTTTCTTCTTCTTCAGTAAATGTAATTATCAAAGATACAGGTTTTTCGATGTCCACTATGCTCCAAGATCTGTCTTACAATTTAAAGAAGCCAAAACATGATCATGGTAATTTGTATGAGATGGTGAAAACATTCAACTCTCATGGTTTTTCTCTTATTAGGTTCTGCTTTGGTTTAGGCATATTTGCTCCATCCCATATGAACGCTCATGAGGGAGCGTTAAAGGTGGAGCAGCCCAGAAGACAAAGCTGGTGTTAATGACAGAAACACATGCTTTCTTAACCTGTCCAGACCCTGTCAAGACAGCCTTTATAGCATCTCTTCATCCTGGACAATTCAAAGGTTTCCCAAATCTCTCGAGAGCAATGTTCGGCACTCACTCGGTTGGCTTTTCCACTTCCATGGCTTTGATTTCACAATTGTTGTCCAAGTCTCTGGCAGCATCCAGATGAGCAAACGATGGATGTAATTACCTAATGTACTTGCATACTTTGGGGCTGAATATGTGAATGAAATGTCACCACATTGAGCCAGCCCAAAAACAAGAAAAATCAACACCGACATGATTGTTTCTATAAAGCATTTTTATAGATTTTTTTGTCACTTTAAACTAAACAAAATAGCATTCGCAACCCTTTTGTGTCCGTAATGTGACGTTGTTCAGGAAAACATGATGTTCCAAAATAAAACGTACACTCTCAGAAATCTATTGGGGCGGTACCCTACCCTAACTCTTGTTACTTAGTACTTTAAAAGTACATATTATTACATTTTGAAATAGTACCACCCTAGTAAATTTGGTATTTTTGCAGGGCTGTGCATTTTACAGAAAATCTTGTAAAAATTTATATTTTACATTCCACCCCATTTATTGAGATGTAGAAAGCAGTATTGTATCTGTGGGTGGGCTTTTCTATTACTGCCTAAAGCACATGGAATCAGCTCATTTCTGTGTTTATTATCGTACACCATCAGTTCACATTGAATCTATTTGTAACATCTGGGCCCTTCCTTTGGAAGAATCTTTGGAAAACAATGTTTACCAGTACATGATTTTGTTATGAGCATTTGCTTCAAAGGTCAGAAGGTCGGAAGTCAAAGAAGTGAGAAGTCGTCTAAAGAGAAAACAGGTTTCCTAATGGGCAAATGTGATTTTAAATTTAGTGGACAAACTTCAGGGTTCAGAACAATAATTATAGCGTCATCTGCTGGTCAAAATGTTCCTCCCCACTTTAAAAATGCCACACTTCATTTAGACTCTTGATATTGTGCAATTGTATTGAAATTGTTGTTGAAGGTGTAATGAAACGCCTTAAGCGTAACATTGTTCTTAAAACTAGAAGAGAGAGATCAAAAAGCATGCATGCAACAAATCCATATCAAATAAACATCCAAATGCATCAGCTTTTGGATCTTGTAACAATCATACCTGCCCTGAGAGGGAAACAAAGCAAATTCTTCTTGTTTTCTGTGTGTAATTATTGATTATGTCATGTGCCTGCATTGGATCTGATGACATTTGAGTCACAAATTAAAAACAGGCTCTCGTGCGTGGGTGAATATTGTTCACATTCCTACCTTTTTATTTAAAAAATCTAAATAACTCTCAGGGTTTTCTCTCGCAAACACACACAATGTCCCTAAAAAGTATTTGGACACTTCATGTCTGAATGTCACAAAATATCAAAGCAAGTGGCATCTGTGCTTTTCTGAGCCTTTTTGTGCAACTGGTGTTTTGGTGATTTATAGTAAGGTAGACCCTTCACATTAAATATGAACATGTTCCATTAACGTTTGACAGCCGGATTGTGGCAAACGCTTTAATTTGAACTGTATATCTACTGTTTATTTGTTTTTGTTCAGAAAAAAATGTTTCTGACATTCATTCATAAGTGTGAAGCAAGTGCCCTAATATGTTTTTCGGGCCACTTGCTCTCTCTTCATACGCATATACTTATCCTTGACCCTTTATCTTTTTTTTTTTTTACATCGGTCTCTCTCCCTCTGTCCCGTCTGGGCGTGTGGATCCGCCCCTGCTTAATTTTATCATTTCGCCCCTTTCTGAATTTCCCAACTACAAAAGTCTGTCTGACATTTCTCTCTCAGTCTCAGCAGGGGAGCGGGGAATATCTCAAGCCAGCCACACAAAGGGAAAACAGGGGACCCCCTTACTCACCAGGACAGGTCAGTTTGTAAATTCCCAACACCGACTCCTGAAGATTTCCATGGGTAGTTTTGCTTTTGAATGCACCCTGAAAGAGGATATAAAAAAGACGAGATTGTCAGAAACAGGAGGTTGAACATGGTGAGACATGATGAATTGTGATCAAATGCTACTAGAAATACTGTAAACCGGAACTGTAGCTCTGCTTGTGAACTTTTAAGTGTTTTGTGAGTATTAATATAGAACTTACTGCACTGGAATATAACAGTCCTTCTCGTTTTCTTGGCACATGCTATTTGGCCTATACTACAAAAAAATGACTCCGTTGCCGGCTGGAGAAGTGGTTTTGCGCAAAATCTATAGGTTATAATTTTAACTACCATTAAAGTGCTCTGATAGATGTTTTTTGTATGTTGTAACATAAAGGAATAGGTTACGCTTACGTTTGTTTTACGTCTAATTTCTGCGCATTTACAAAACGTTTTGAGCTTCAGTTTGGATAAATTTGACCTTTCAAAGATAATTCATAAAGGCTAGTTTTGTCTATTTTTTTTTTCTCTCTCTCTCTGTTTGTTTAGGGGTTTGAAATAGCACAAGCCTTTAAAGCTTGAACATCCAGTTTTGTGTATGGCTAATTCTGTTTGTGTACGTATGTGATTATTACTAAATCTGCAGCTTTATGTTTTTGATGTTTGTGTTTGAAACTATTGTCTCGTGCAGGGTGAAGTCTTAATATGAATCCGTCATTGTTGCTGTGCTGTGTGCTGCTCTGTTTAGCCTGCTGTGTTACGGTACATACACACATGATTATGGAGGAACAATACAGCTCCAACCAAACAACCATCAGCTTACACGCAAATAACCAAACAGATGCACCTTCTGTGCTCATAGTCGGTAAGGCTTCTTTCTCTTACAGAGAAACTGTTCGAAACAAATCGTCATCATTCTTAATCAAGAACTGTAAAAATGGTCAACAGAAACTTCTAGCTAA